CCTGAGACTGTCTCTGGGAGAAGGGGGTGATGGGGGTGGCTAAAGGGGGGACCCCTTTAAAATCTTGAGTTGGAAAGCTTTCACCCCAAGTCCTGTTTAGAACGCCTGCAACCATCTTCTCTTAATAAAGATGCCTATTGGAAGAAATATTCCAAGAGTTCTGTCTTCTTAAGATGCAAAGTGGGGTAGGTCCTTACACTTGGTTCTGGGAGGTGTGACGAATACTAAAAACAAGTATCCAACAAACCATGTTACTAATGTGGCATCATTTGTTTCGTGTGGAAAGGGTAGCGAGTCAAAGGCAGCCAACACTAACAAGTTCTAGTGTGCATCCAATACCAAACAAACGAGCACTGGGGCAAAATTTTCACGTCAAAATGCATTGAGAACCAAATTCCATGAGTTTCAAAGCAGTCAAGTACCGAGGTATGATTATACCCAGGAAAAGATCCATAGAAAACATTTGTGTTCTTGCCATTATTGATCCTTTTTATTAACAATAGTCTAGTGTTAAAAATAATTCTAGCCCGTCTTTCAACCAACTCTAGGTGACTTCAAATCAAAAATTAAGACAAAAAAAATGTAAAAACTATAAAACTCAGTTAAAACATGACAAGAAAAAACTGGCACCAGCCCATCATGCAGATTAGCACTGGCCCTTCATCATGGGCCTTCCCTGCAATAGTCCTTGCTTTATGGAATATCCTCCCCATGGAGATTAGAATGGCCCCAACCCCGTTAGCCTTTAGTAAAGCTCTAAAAATCTGGCAGTGTTCTTGAACCTAGGGTTCTGAATGTGCTAAGGGCCGTTTTCTGACTTTATTGGCCAAATATTTTGGCTACTTTATTTATTTTGGATGTTTGTTGTTTTAAAATGTTTTAATTGTATTGTGTTTATATGTACACACACAAACACAAATATATTTGGACTAATGAGGTGTCAAGCTAGAAAGTAGGTAGTCCCACTTTAGCCACGAAAGCCAGGTGGGTGACCTTGGCCAGTCACTCTCTCAGCCCAACCCATGTCACAGGGTGGTTGTTGTAAAGGAAAAAGGAGAAAAATGTGTTGTATTTGCTGCCTTATTTGTAAAAATTGAGCAATTGAGATGGGCGGCTATAGAAATAGAATAAATAAATCATCTAATCTCCCAACTCTTTGGGGAGTCAGGTCTTTAAAGCCTTACGGAGTGATAAAAAAGTGGAGGCCTGCCAAACCTCATGGGGCAAGGTGTTCCATAGGGCAGGAACTGCCATGGAAAAGTCATGCTTCCTATTCCCCCCCAATACTTGGGAAAAGGGATTAAGTGTGCCTACTCTATCTATCTGGTAACCTAGACAGATGGTTCCACAGGTAGCCTGGCCCTGGGCCATGTAGGCTTTAAAGGTGATGACTAGCACCTTGAATTGCATCCAGAAAGAAGTTGGAAGCCAGTGCAGCTTGTGCAATAGGTGTTACATTGACAAAACCCAGGTTTCTGGGTGGTCTTAAAGGGTATAGAATGTAATCCAGATGGAAGGTGACCAAGGAAGAGTCAAAGATGAAGAATCATCTGGTCAAGGAGGTGCCAAAAACCCAACCCCTCCCAACTTGCCAGGGATGAGCCAAAGCCAGTTCCTCCCGAGGCAGATCCTTACAGCCCTCAGGCACTCAGCCAGCATCGCAACTGCATCACTTATTTGGCTAGGGGTGGAAATATGTAATTATCATCAGCATACCAATGGTACATAATCCATACCAATAGATACTAAAAAGGATCGAGCACTGAGGCACCTCACACTGCAGGTGAGGAAGAACCACTGTAAACCAGTGTGTCCTCCTGCCAACCCTCCAATGCCAGTCCAAATGAACATCATGGTCAATGGTACCAAAAGCCAGAAAGGTTACACTGCTACCTCCATTTCGAGCCCTCCAAAGGTCATCAACAAGTGTGCCCAATATGATTTCAGAGTTGTGCCCTGGCCTGAATCCAGACTGAAAAGGGTCCAGATAATCCACTTCAACCAGGGCCCTCTGTAGCTACCTAACATCCTTCAATAACCTTGTGTATAAAGGGAAGATTGGAGACTAGATGAAGGTTATCCAATACTGTGGGATCCAAAGATGGCCACTTGAGAAGGCGACCAGTGCCTCCTTCGGGGCAGGCAGTATCATCCCCTCCTGCACAGGCATTAATAACTGCCTGGATCCAGCCATGTTACCTTCTGGGAGGTCTTAACCGGCCAGGAGGGGCATGGATTGTGAACACAAATGGCCGGAATCACAGCCCCAAGGACCACGTCCCCTTCCTCAAGAGCAACTGGCTCAAACTCTTCCCAGATAACAAGGCTCAAATGTGACTTTGTCACTTCCAAGAGGTTTGCTCAGCCAGAGTATGAGCAAAGTCGAGTGACTTTATCTGATAGATATTAAGATTATTCCTCACAGTGACCCTGCAAGAGTTCCCCTGGTTACTCCTTACCCAGGAGAAACTTGGTTACCTGAAACAGGACTACCTGTGGGGTCCCTGCAGATGCAATAAGGGTGGAGAAGTAATTTAACAGTTAATTTTAATTTAAAATATTAATTAATTTGAATTTGAACTTAAATGATTGTAAGACTGAATAACAAAACAGAAAACGTAGCGGAGAAATCCTTAGTTTTGCTTAATTACTCTTCCTTAGAAATTCAGATATTACTTTATCTTTTCTTCAATCCAATAGTTCTGTTGAAAAATTAAAATCTTTTCTATTTTCCATTCCATAATAAAGTTGACTATTTCAACTATTAAACTTTCATTTTAATATTGGGTTGATTGTATGGAATTTATTTATAATTGCAGCCTTGGTTCCAAAGCAGCCAATTGCTGTTCACCTGTTGTGCCTTTGCTACCAGCCAATTGGACGCAGGGGCCAGAGGGAAGTGGGAAAGGAGGGACACACCCCTTAACGTTCCGTGTGTCATACAACCTACAGGTTTCTGGGAAATATAGTCTGAAGGCACAGTACTGTAATGCTGAAGCAGCCATAATTTGTGTGAATTTTCTTTATCAAAATTAATTTGCCACCCATCTCGCGATTCAAGGAGACACTGAGCAGCTTACAAGATAAAACATGCAAACATTCAACAATTATAAATAATGTGTTCTGAATGTTATTGGATGCGTCCACAGGCATTATTGATATGTTACTCTTGTGTACAATAGGCATGTAGTCTTTTAGAATAGTCTAAGAAGTATGCTTCCACATGCAACCTTTTCTTTTTGCTGAAGTTACTTTCATCAACAATACACAGGTCAATCTATTGCATAAAATTTATATTTAATGTATTGGCATGTATTCACAAAGCCTCTAACAACTTAGAAACCAGATTATGAATATTGCCTTCCTCCAACCAACTTGGGTATTAAGATTAGTTAGAGAAACCTCCTCATGGTCCACAGGTGGATGTTCTGTTTAGTTAAGAAAAAGAACCTTTATAGTCAGGCATTTGTAAGCTAAGGACTATTCTAGAACTAAAGTGTGTATAATACTGAGGGATCCTTGGTGCTTGCTTGTTTTGTTGCAGTTTGTTCAATGGAACCGCATCTACATGTGTGTAGTGGGGTGCCCCAGTGCTCTGTTCTGGGCCCAGTGCTCTTCAACATTTTCATCAATGATTTGGATGAAGGGATAGATGGGGAACTCGTCAAATTTACAGATGACACCAACCTGGCCGGAAGAGCCAACACTCCAGAAGAAGACAGGCTTAAGATACAGAAGGATCTTGACAGACTTGAACATTGGGCATTAGCTAACAAAATGAAATTCAATGGTGAAAAAAGTCAGGTTCTACATTTAGGCAAGAAAAACCAAATGCACAGGTACAGTATAGGTGGTACCTTGGTCAATAGTAGTAACTTTGAGGGGGATCTCAGAGTCCTAGTGGACAATCACTTAACTATGAGCCAGCAGTATGCTGCAGCTGCCAAAAAAGCCAACACAGTGCTAGGCTGCATTAACAGAGGGATAAAACCAAGATCACGTGAAGCGTTAATACCACTTTACAATGCCTTGGTAAGGCCACACTTGGAATACTGCATCCAGTTTTGGTCACCACGATGTAAAAAAGACGTTGAGACTCTAGAAAGAGTACAGAGAAGAGCAACAAAGATGATTAGGGGACTGGAGGCTAAAACATATAAGGAATGGTTGCTGGAATTGGGTATGTCTAGTTTAACAAAGAGAAGGACAAGGGGGGACATGATAGCAGTGTTCCAATATCTCAGGGGCTGCCACAAAGAAGAGGGAGTCAAGCTATTCTCCAAAGCGCCTGAAGGCAGGACAAGAAGCAATGGAAACTAACCAAAGAGAGAAGCAACCTAGAA